TTGTCGTCGGCGTTTCAAAAAGGGCAGTGATTTTGTACTTGTTGTGATTATCCTTGCTTTTGTGTAATTATTGCATCAAAAGCATTCTTGGTCTAAAACAAAGTACTGTAGTTAAGGTTTGAAATCATGCTAAAGTTTGTCTTGTGGTACCCTTTTACTCATTCACTGACACTGTGTTCATACTGTGATCATATTGTGTTTCACACCCTAATATGATTACAATGGTTGGTAGTACTCACAAATGTGGACAACCAAAATGTTTGTTCCCTGAGGAGGAAGGAATGCAGTGTGATGAATGTAAAAAGTGGTTCCATAAAATGTGCACCCGTTTAAGTCCCACTGCATACAAAAGATGTTCGAAGGCTAACTCACATTGGCTGTACATGTTTTGCTGTACAAATAAGACGTTACTAATGCGGGAGGCTATTTGCCCTAGTCTGTAAGAGGAACGATGGCACATGCACTGATAACACGAGCATTGACAGTGACGAACGTGTCAGTGTAGTACGCGCTGTTACGAGACGCCTTAAACAACCGACTATGACTGACGGAAAAGTGAAATCTCCATTAAAATTAACGACGGAGTTAGTACAACTTGATACTGATATTAGTAACCATGCACCCCTAGTGGAAACTGAAGATCTGGATAAAACTGTCACTGCTTTAAATAGTCCCAGTGTCCTGAGGGATGAAAAATGGACTACAGTACGGAGAAAACGAAATGAAAAGAAAAAGGCTGTAGGCAATACGCAGGTGGTTAGCAAGTCACTAAATGCACTACCAAAATCTGACGCACTGCCAACATCTGATAGTAGGAGAGAAACGCATCCTGGCGTGAGTGAGAGGAAGAATCTAGTCTCATCGAATATTATTTTGAGCAAATTGCTGGAGTCAAACGACCCAGATTCCAAAATTATACACGCGCATGACTTAGAGAAGCTGGGAGAATATATTCGCAGTATCTTACCAGATGACTCTAAAGGAGTTCGGGTAAAAAAACTGGTTAGAATAGGCAAGAGGACTGAGGAAAATGTTGAACCCCGACCATGTAGACTCCTTAAGGTAATCCTAGGATCGGAGAAGCAACGGGATCTCCTGTTAAGTAGCGCTCGTTGTAACGACCATTCCGATATACGGGTTAGACCTGATATGTCTCTCGAAGATAGAAAAAAAGGAAGAAAGCATTAGCTGAACTAGAAACCCGTCGGCAAAACGGTGAGGAAAACTTCCGGCTAGTGGGTTTCCGGATAGTCAGATCTTGGAAGCGAATGCTACCAAGGCCTGTGTGGATAAATCGTTCTACCTAGGAGTTTTATATGCCAACGCTCGTAGTCTAAGAAATAAGTTCTATGAACTAGAAGCATTAGTGGACAGATTAAAGCCACTCGTTGTAGCACTGACAGAAACGTGGCTAGTCCATGACTTAGACATTACTCCAGAATTATCCGGATACCATTACCTCAGGAGTGATAGACGCAGATGTAGAAAAGGAGATGGCGTCCTTTTATATATAACCAATAATATAAATACCTGCTCCTCCGCTAGCGAATCCCATGATAGCGGTATTTGTGAAGTCATTAGCTGTAAATTAGCTATCGGATGTAGTACATTTATGCTCGGTGTAATCTATCACAGTCCAATCTGCTTAGCTGATGATTTTATTTTGGAGCACGTTCGTCTTTGGAGTGCAAATACAAGATGTTTGATAATGAAAGACTTTAATGCACCTGATATTAGTTGGACTGAGATGGCCACAGAGGGATTTATAAACTCCTTTGATAGTAGGTTCCTGGTAACAATAATGGAGCATGCACTAATGCAGCATGTATCCAAACCCACACGTTTTGGTGCTAACCAAGGTTCTTCCCTGTTTGACTTGGTGATCACTCATGATACTGAGGATATTGTCGACCTAAATATTCTTCCACCGTTAGTGAACAGCGATCACGGTGTCTTGTCATTAACGTTTAGAACTAGGGACATGTTATACGATCAGGTTACACCCCGCCCAAATGTATGGAAAGCTAACATATCAGCCATTCAGGAATGCGCTGCTAAGACAGACTGGTTTGTAGATACTAGCTTATCAGTTGAAGAAGCATGGTCTGTATTTAAAGGTAAGTTTAGTTTAGTTACGTCCTCGTTCATACCATACGTGGTACCGCGAAGACCGAATAACAGTCCACCATGGATAACTAAAACGGTCAGGAAACTTCTTAGAAAAAGGAAGAATCACTGGAATACGTTCATCCCTGCTGGCTCAGAACAATACAGATCCAGTTACTGTAAGATTAGGAATGCCTGTAAAGCGTTAATAAGTAAGACTAGACGATCATATTAAACACAATTGGTTAGGGTTTCTAGATATAGTCCAAAACGTCTACTCTCGTATTTAAAAAGGGCGAACTCAGAGAAGCGATGGGATTCCATCACTTTTGATACAAGAAAATTCGTTAATATTGGCAGAAAATGATACCGATAAAGCTGAAGCTTTATCGGAATATTTCAGTAAAGTGTTTTCAATGGGTAATGAGGAACGGCCAACGACTGATTGTGATCGCGGCGGCTCGCTGATGAACCCTGTAGTCATTGAGAAAGGTACTGTTTTAAGGCTACTTCAGCATCTCAAACCTGATAAGTTCAGTGGTCCTGATAATATTCATTCTAGGATTATGAAAGCCATATCAGATGAAATTGCTGAACCATTAGCGACACTGTTTGATATGTCTCCAAGGCAGTCCAGACTGTCCAGAGACTGAAAAGACGCTATAATAGGTCCGGTGTATAAGGCTGGGAGAAGGGATTTAGTTAGTAACTATAGACCTGTTAGCTTAACTAGTGCAGTTGCAAAACTGATAGAGAAAATCATTCGGATAGCTGTTATAAACTATGTTGAAGGGCATAACCTTTTCTCCAGGGAACGACATGGTTTTCGGAGAAACATGACATGCTTGACAAATCTTTTCATTGCAAGAGAAGATTGAGCTGCTGTAAAAGACCGGAATATTCCTATGGATGTCATTTTCATAGATCTAAGTAAGGCCTTCGACAAGGTTTCCCACTCTGGTCCTAAATCCAAACTGAAACGTTTTGAAATCCATTATACAGTCGTAGATTGTATAAGTAACTTTCCCCATGGCAGGAGACAAAGGGTAGGGGTGAATGGTGCTCTCTCCTCGTGGGTACCTGTAAAAAGTGGAGTTCCCCAAAGCACAATCCTCAGTCCTTTTCTCTTTTTACTTTAAATAAATTACCAACTATAGCAAAACCGCCAGTTTTACTCTTCGCTGATGACATAAAAACGTTGAGATCTATACACAGTATCTCGGATAGGATATCATTACAGAATGATCTTAGCTCATCGGTGGCATGGTTGGACAGGCGGTCACTAGAGGTAAATCCTAATAAGAGTGTAGTGATGCAAATAAATAACTATGATGAATCGTATCACTACACAATATGTGGATTCATGCTACCCAAAGTAAGAAACTATAAAGATTTAGGAGTCATATTAGGCACTGATCACAAAACCACTAGTCAATGTAAGGCTGCTGCTGCTGCTACGAAAGGCTATAGGGTATTATGGTCTATTCTTAGGTAGTATTTAGATGATGAAATGTTTAGATTATCATGACCGATTTATGTGCGACCACATTTGGAATATGGGATCAATCAGCGAGTCCTTGTTTCAAGTATGGATCAGAGATGCTGGAAAGCGTCCAACGACGAGGTACTACGATGGTACAAAGTCTATCTGGCCTACTTTATGAAGATAGACTGAGACACCTTAACTTATTTCCGTTATCTTACTCTAGAGTACGAGGTGATCTAATATTGGCTTACCGTATATTGAACGATGACCTTGTGTTATAATCTCTTTCTTACAATTATGACCCAGCTATTCATATTGCTTAGTATTCTCGGACACTGATTCACTCGACAAGTCTCCAAATCAGAACACGGTTGAACAGGAAAGAGATTATATTCCAAATAACAAGGTTAGATGGAAGTAAGAAACACAATAGGGAAAACGTTAGTATACTTATATTTTTTACATGAGAAGATTCCAGAGTATTCTCCAACTATCGACTAGTGCTGATTGAATAAGAATTAGCCAAACAGCGTGCACCAAAGCAATCGTGCATTGAGCATGCTTTAATCCAGTCTGTGTCCCGCTAACACCTTGGTATTAACATGTCTTATCTTTTACTTCCGTCTCGGACTGATCATTTGAGAAAACATTCGAAGAAAGTTCAAAAACCATGATCAAATCGTTCACGTCCTGAGTTTCGTTTCTCGCACCGAGTAGTGAATTACTGGAATTCTCTACCGGAACACGTAATATCAGCACCTTCTGTTAATATATGCAAAACGAGATTGAACCTCCACAGTATTACAAACTGCAAGGATTAATATAGGTCGACAGACCTCCTATCCTTATTATTGAAGACTGAAGCTATATTATTAGCGCAGTACTAATATAGTAGACCATAATTCTTCAGATCCACAAATAACTATCAAACTGCTTGAAATTAGTGCGGTCGAGTGACTAGACCAACACCCATCAAAAGTTGCCAAATACCTGGGACTGCAGAGAAACGATAAGACACGAGAGCAAATGGGTCAATCGGTTTATACAAGCTCGTGACAAAAATATTGGAGATTACGTATTGATTATACTTTACTAAAACTGGGAAGGTAAGCAGAGTGGTTTATCAACTGATATCACAAGAAATTTCGTTAACTTTTACGGATGTTGCTGTAAAAAACTAGAAGAATATAACATCGTAGGCTATTTCTTTATACCGACAAACCAAATTGTTACTATCAGCTGTGTACACTGTCTGAATTTAGAATCCCTCAAGAGTTTGAAAAAAATCAGTAAAGGTGTCTTGAATAATTATTACTGTTCCTTAAGCAATCAAAAGTGATTTAAATATTAGACTTCAATCTGATGGTCAGTGTGTTTTTTTCGACCACAAAGAAACCTAATGGCATGGCTACATAAAGCCGGGTTAATCAAATATGGGTCTTGATTATTACCAGTTACTGAATATACCTCGAAGTGCTGACCATGCAGAGATATGCAAGGCGTGAGATTTATGTGCTTCAGTAACACTATAGCCTTCTTGCTCATTTAGTAACGATTTTACCTATAACTGTTGTGCTAAAATATTAATTGATTCGTAATTATAGAGAAATTCTAGCTGTGTTATGTAACACATGCACTCAGTTTATCATACATCTAGAATTTAAGATATGATGAGACTCAAAAAAGTTAAGCGTTTGTTTAGTGGCATCATTTTTGTGTTGTATGCAAATAATTCCACTTTTTTTACTGTCCTATAGATGATAATGAAGACATTTTCACTTCGGAAGGAATTCACATTGTAATATTATTGCTCGCATTATTCTTCTTCCTTCATATATCAATGATAGTTTATAAACAGCACCTGATCACTCATTGAAAGCTGCTCTGCCAATCCTAAGTAATACCCACCTTTTGGGACCTTATTTGTTGAATCATCGCTTGTTTAATATTACCAGGCAATTTTTAGTAGATAACACCTAAAGGGTCTAATAGGTTATCAAAACGTTTTGATATCATAAAAACGAATCAACTTATTTTCTGGTTGAAATTCAACGTGCTCTGTTTTCCAATACTTCTTTTAAATGAAGTTACCGAAGATTGGCTTTACACTACCATCCTTGCTGCGCTCAACCTGGAGAAGATTTCAGTGAATGCTTTTCGGCCATCTCAGAGGCCTACGACGTTCTGTCAGACTTAAAAAAGAAGGCAATTTATGATCGATTTGGAGAAGAAGGTTTGAAAGGTGGTGCACCAATCAATTCAGAATGGACGAAGCCCTATGTATATCATGGAGATCCACACAAAACGTTCATGTCTTTTTTTGGAACAGATAATCCTTTCAACCGTAATTTTTTCAATTTTCCTATCACCATTTTAACAATCAGGATTTCAGGAAGAAATGGACTCACAAGTTGAACATAACTTCGGAGGTCTTAACGGTCGTGGTCGTCCTCATCAAGACCCACCAATTGAACGTGAAATGTCTCTGACCCTCGAAGAAATTTACAATGGATGTACTAAAAAGATGAAGATTTCCCGCCGAGTAAGAAAAGTCTCATTGAAAGTTTGGTATCATTTATTCACTTTTTTTTATTCAAATGGAAGTTCTCCTTTAAATAATGCAAGGAAAAAACATATTTTCAGGTAATTCCATATACTTGTAAGAGTTAGATAATCAGTGGAGATTAAAAAGGATTGATTAACTAGTCGATTTAATCTGAAACCTCAGCGCAACAAGATCTGCACTCTTAATCGAACCCTAACGCCTCTGCGTCTTCAGTCAGTCCTGTAACGTAGAAGCTGACATATATGTTAGTCGGTTTGAATCATCATACCACATTAGCCAAGTGATACAAAATTATCAGGCAAAACCTATAGGGTAGTATCAGTAGAAGCAGAATGCTAGCTACAGTCTTGTTAGTTGACATGTGCCATATCAATTTACTCGTAGTTACGTTTAACACATCTTCAACTAATTACTATGAAATAAAGTAAATAGAAGATTTCCAACTTCATATCTATTATGCCTTCGTCTATAATTACATTTGTTTTGGCTGGTATATCATTATTACTCGGCTTTTTGAAGTGAGTGTACATTTATTATTACGTATATCAATTGAATACCTCCAGCGTTGGGCACTATTAGTACCTTATTTAAAGGGTTTTACGAGTTACTGGGTGAAAACTGCTTTTATGAAACAATCATTTAGATCTATAATTAACTTTTCATCATGGTGTTGAAAATTAAATTTACGAAATTCTATTTTTTCGAAGATAATGAATGAAGACGGACACACAAGTAGCATCAAGGATAAAATACTTTCATTGACTGTTTTTCCTGGATGGTATGAAGGCACTCGTATTACATTCCCCAAGGAAGGTGATCAAGGTCCAAATACAATTCCAGGTAAATGCTTTACCTCTAACTAACTTCTTTATTTTACCTAATCTGCTAATTTTCGTACACTTTAATCCAAAAATTATTGTTCATTTGTGGTTATTTGATGGCTTTTTTGACCTGCTTTAAAATCGTAGTAATTTATTTAATATCACTATGATGCTGAATGACATTTGCGAAACTCCTTGACATATAGTGCTTCTCAATGGTCAGCGGATTCACTGTTATAACACTTGTGCCTGCTCAAATGCAAACGTCTGTGGACTGAATTTGTAACCCAACTTTCAAGTTGACGTACAATACCTGCGATATATCAACGTAAACAATGTCGGGTCCACAAGAAATACTTTTGAATTCAAGTTGTCGTATTTATCACCAGTACATTAAAAACATAGCAATTAGGATAAAAAACATAAATGAAGCTAGTACTAACACTAGTAGTAGAAGCCTAAGAATAATAAATATGGTTCAACCTAATCAAACTCGACGATCAATCTTAAACCATTATTTTGCGAGAAAAGCATTTAATATCTTCAAATGACGGAACTATGCCACCTGTATACTTTAATTCGATAAAAGACCCTTCACATTAGAAGTCGATACCTGAAACTTCATATTATAAGCTTGTGAAAAACAAATGTTCAGGATTAGTCCAAAAATGTATAATCCGACAAATGAAAATTCATTTAGATTATTACTAATGATGTTATTCTGATGTAAGTATCTCAGATTAAAATTATCCTACTAAAAGATTTCTGTAGATGTCATATATACTAATAGCAAACGTTACACCTAATGGTGCTTGCTGATTCTTTGTAAATTGAAGTAAAATATTTCGTGACTTTAAATGTTTAAAGTTTTTCGAAAGATATATATAAAATTCTCCCAAAATGATGCTGATATTTTAGTTTCACTTTTATACAGGGATATTTACCAGCTAATTTTGTTGTTCAGATAAATCAAATCAAATATAACGCAGAATGTGTTGTTTAGGTTAAGACAATCTTCATCGATGATTAAATTTACTTTGAAGGCAGATTTAAGTATTTATTGTCTCCGAGGTAAATTCTGGTTATTAAAAGTAGACAACCCTTTTGAAAGGCAAACCGTCTTTTCTTTTGACTTCTTGAGTTGTAGAAACATCTGATAAGTCCACGTTATCTTAATTATTTTTCCTTTTCACGGTTGAAATTACGAGTCGATCTAAGCAATATCACCATTGAAACTTCAGAAGCCCTGGGGGGTCGTTTCTTCCCAGTATGGGACTCTTCAGCAGTGTTCATCCACGATCCCTCACGTAGGACTCGAACCCATGTGTGGACGCTTATCCTCTAGACCGCTGAGCTGGTATCCAACGGTGTTAACGTCTAACATAAATCGATCCATGATCTTGCACAATCCTTTCTCCATTACCTGAGGTAGATAATTGTCTCACTCACCCAGTGCTCACAGGCTTTCATTAGTGGTCTAGCTTAGAACGACTCATGATTTCAACTGTGAAAATACTGCAGTCTTCACAAATCCCCATACTCATTTTTTTCTTTTTTTCCCTTTCATAGCTGACATTGTATTTATTTTACGTGATCATCCACATAAACATTTCAAGCGTGAAGGAACTGACTTAATATTTACTTCACCAGTGCCATTGGGCCAAGCTTTGTTAGGTTGTATTGTAGATGTCCCTACATTAGACGGAAGATTGTTACATGTTCCAATCACGGAAATCATTCAGTAAGTTAGGTAACACTTTTATTACTTATTTTCTTACAATTCGTCTGATTAAAACTAATTGTTCCGAGTGTTTGCAGTATTGTTTCCTCATTATCAGTTGACAGTCAATTTTGTTAGAAGGTAGGAAATATATGACTCAGTAATTTAGTTACAATTATTAGTCTAACCAACTAGTCTAGCCTCATTGTAAGTTGTATACATACATCAAATTATTGGTTAATTTATGTCAAGTGCTGTTCAGTTTAGAGTATCCAGGTTTGATTATTGGCCGGATAAATAAATGAGACATAACTCAGTGTATTTTAGTATGTTTGCTAATCAGCGGTTGCATCGGTTGTGGATTAATCGTATTTGCATAACAAGCCTTCATCTACAGTCTTTTTTTGCTTTGCGTCAAGCTGTATTGGTCTTTGTTCATTTGTAACAAGTAGTCATAGCAATGATTTTATATCATTTGTAAATATTTTATTCTTTTAATCTCTACTTCACTATAGCCATTCGACATAGAATTAATGAATAATACCAACAATGTACTTTTTTGGGGCTAAATAAGACAAAATTCATCATGACGATATCTTTTAGAGTAAGAAAGGTTAAATATCAGCGTATTAAGAAAAAATGTCTTGAAGAATAAAATCCTAGCGAAGAATCGAAAACACCGATGTTCAGTTTGGTAACCGGTGTAGTTTCCACTGTGCAGAAATAAATTTCCTCTTTGTCTATATACTGGAATTATAATATAATGTAGTAATTTTATATCACGGACTGATTTTAATTAGGCAACTATCGAGAATCACTAAGCACTAGACAGTTGCTTCGTTCTAGAATAAGACTTCTTTAACAGCATACATAAACCACTTCACCAGGGGTCGAACCCAGAACCATCAGGTCTTGCGGCGATCGCCTAACCCTTCTGAAATAGGTAGTTTTTCACATTTCTAACTTTTATCACTCTACGATATTATGTGACCATAATCCGTTGTCACTGGTGATATTCGTCTCACTCTCATTATGACAGGACTCTACTCATTACGGCTTCAGACTTGGAGCAATATAAACATATTTTTTGTATCAATCATAGGTTAACTACCTTTATTTAGACATATTTCAGTATAAAATAAGTATAATTTCTTGTGGATTGTACTGATTCAGAGATATTTTTATCTGGCTAAACAGTTTTGTTTTGTAATCCAGTCATTCATAAAACCGGATGTTGTTTGTAAATAAGAAACAATTGATTATAGCATCACCTCTTTGCCCAATATGTATATTGAAAAAAACTAGTTTTTTTGTTTCCTTTATATCTTATATGTACGTAATTAAGCATTCAAACTAGACGAACATTTTAAATTTACAATTTTAAGTGGATAACAGATAATATCAGGAAGAATGAGTTCAGATCTCATTTTTCTTACTGTTCACTTTTAATTTATTGGTAAAATTCACTGTTAAAATCAGCGTTCATAATTTCTTCATTCAAAATTGTTCATTATAAAGTACGTATATGTATAGTGTTTTGGGAAATGATAAAATATATATATGTTCAAAGCAATCGGTCTTTGAATCCACGAATAATTCGTTCTCTCCAAATGAGGATTTAAAAAGAAAATCAATTCATCTTAATTCATGGTTATTTTTCCTGTATTAAAAATGATTTTCAACACATTTAAGTTATTAAAAATGGTTACCGAAGGTCCAGAAGTACATAACTTAAAGCATATATTCTCAATAAAAGAAATAACATTTGTGTATGTATTCTCTGACTACATAATTTCTGGTCTCGATAGTTTGATTGAAAATTATATGCAAAAGTTATATTACTAAAGATTGCAGATTTTAGATAGTAGAAACAATTAGGAAAAGGTTTGCACAGTAGATTATACGTTTCAGAAACTGATATTATTTGAAGAGTTACTGAAAATTAAATGATCGTTAGGGTTCTGTTTTAGCTTGATTAAGACCACATCAAAAGTTCTCACTTTAAATATTATGTCTTATCCAACAAATCCTAGATGTTAGATCCTATTCAAACGACTCACCAATAATGTGATCACTACAATAGATGACATTGCTAGTTTAAGTCTAATAAAAGCTGTAGAGTTCACATTATCACATGATCTAAAATTCATGTATCCGACTTGAGTAGTATCTCCTATTTACAGTTTTTCTGTAGCTCACACTCATCAATGACTCAAATAACAGTCTTGAATAGTTCAAGATTAAATTGTTTATTTTGTAAAAATAAATTACTTTCTTTATGTTCATAAATCTTTCTACCTTTGAAAAACATGGATTTTATAGTCCCAACTATGAAAAAGTAGTGCCAGGTGAAGGTATGCCATTACCTGATAATCCAGAGAAGAAAGGAGATTTACGAATTCGATTCAATATTCAATTTCCTAAAAAATTAAGTGGCGATCAAAAGTTAAGTATTGAAAGAGCATTTTTTGGATAATTTTACCGTTCTTGGACAATACTATTTTTATCATTTTGAAGTCATAGTAGACACTCATGGATATATATATATGGAATTAAGAGAAAGTTTCTAAAACGAAGTAGAATAACAACAAGAATTCTTATTTGTTTCTTCACAACTCTGCCTTCTAAATGATAATAATTTTATAAACAGTATATCTATGTGATAAAGAGTTGTAAACATTCTTAGTTTTCATAATGATAATGATAAGTATGAGTATCGGTTTGATGAGCAAAATAAAATATTATTCTACCTCTTTTTTAATGAAATATCTTTTCGGTGTGCCGTTTGAAACTTTATCCATGAAAGTGACTAACGTTTAAGCATAAGAACTTTCAGATTTCAAGTTATTTAGTTGCTCTACAATAATTCAACCCAAAGCTTGTGAAAAGGATTGAAGGTGCACACTTAGAAAATTATAGTGTCGAAAATAATGTAAATATCTAGTTCTCTTTGACTTTGTTAGGCTCCTTATTTTATTGTCAATCGGTAAATAAAAATTTTAAACTTTTGGCTTGGTAAAAGCATAATATACTGACGGCCTTGGGTTAACCAATAAGAATTAAAATAACTCCCAATCATTTTGTACAAGGTCTAAAGTGAAGTGATAGATAGCATGTATGTTATTATTAAGCAAGTAAAAATGGGCAATATTTGGTTGTTAAAATATTTGAAATCAATGGAAACGCTTATTATACAACAATAAAGTAAATTTCAGATGACGCTTAGATTAAATTATATGACATACCTGCTTCTAAGGCAGATTGTATGTCCAAGTACTTAATGGCACTCATTATGTAATCAAGAGTGTTTAGTGGATCTAAACAGTATTTTCTCTTCTCCACTCTCATTCTAAATCCCAACCCTAAGTTTTGCAAGTCTGTAAACAGGAAGGTGGAAAAGCATTGTATTATAACTGATGTCAGTTCGTGCTGAAAACCCTAAACTCAATTCGTTTTATAACTAGGCAGCATTTTCTGATTGGCCGATAAGTCGCCCGAGGTCTTCAGTATGTTATACGTTTACCTTTGGCTTTTATGTAAATGCTAATAGATTAAAAATACGCCATGGTATAAAGTCTATCAGGTCATATAAAACAATTTTGGGATTGGTAATACATTTTATTTTCAGTAGAAAGATAGAATATGGCCTTATTAAACCTGGTGTGTTCTCACTGTGAATATTCTGCTTTGTGAACTTTGAAACATGGCTGGTGTTTTACATTTTTTTAAGCGACTGATACAGAGAAGTATTGTTTATTTGGGTGCTTTGCTAGTAATCGATCATCTTAAAGGGAAGATTTATTGACAAACTGATATCCGCTATAGAACGATCGAAAATTGTGTCATTATTTATGAGTTAAGACCATGGGAAAATTCCCAATCATTGACGATTGCACAATAACCAAGCTAGAAAACTAACTTTTTTGTTTCAATTCATTGATCAGAAGTAACGTGACCATGCCAAAACTCTAATAGTTTATATCCACCCCTGTATGAATACAAAGGCACTAGCTTCCAATAACTTAAGTGATAGGAAGAAACAGCTGTCGAGTAGCTACGGGTTTTATAGACTGTGAACTTGTAACTATTTTGGTGGAGTTTTGTTCTCTGAGCTGGATGGTTTGGTCGTGGAGCTTTCATCGTTCTTCTGAACGACATCATCAGCACAAACTTCAGATAGAAGTGAAGTGTTCGAATTTCTCCATATGTGTCTCAAAGCTTGTTCTGTGCACCTCGATGTTGATTGGTTCTTGTCGACCTTAAATTTATCATTGTTTACTTCTTTGTTTTGGTTGTTTCTCCCATTGGTTTGATTTTTGTTCCCATATTTATGCATGATTTTCCTGATTGGTTGGTAAATTGGATTGATTTCAATATGTTTGTTGATTGCTGATTGACCTGAGTGCCAGGCTTCTAAAAATTCCCTGGTGTTTTTGGAGTTTCCTCTTTCTAAGATTTCTACATTTTTCCAATCGAATGAGTATCCGCAGTTGTCCACGTGTATTGATATAAGTGAGGAGATATCATGGAGTTTAACTGCTAATTGATGTTCATGTAGGCGAAGGTGGAGGGGGCGTCCGCTTTGTCCGATGTAGTGTTTGTCGCAGTCAATACAATTTATTTTGTAGATGATGTTTGATTTGTTTTCCTTTGTTATTTCATCCTTTGGTTTCCATAGGATCGATTGTAGTGATTTTGTCGGTTTGTGTGCCACCACTATCCCAAAGGTTTTCAGCAGTCTCGTTGCAGTTTCTGATATTCCTTGTATGTACGGTAGGGTGATCCTCTTGTTGATTTTTGTGCTTGACTTGGGTTCCGATGTCTGCGTGTGGTTGGTGAAAGCTCCACGACCAAACCATCCAGCTCAGAGAACAAACTCCACCAAAATCCACCTGAGCTACAAATCTCCACCATCTCAACTTGTAACTATGTCGATATATGCAAGGAACGATTGCCTACTTGTGAGTAGTGTAAAATAGTCGACATATTTTATGTCGATAGATGGTTAGGAGATATCTTGCAGAGCACTAGTTTTTTATTATATTTCACAGATTGAAATCATGAGTCGGTTGAAGCTAGACCACCATTGAAAACCTGATGCGTTATGACCGATCTCTTGATTTACTACTCAAAATTAAAATAAAACTTATAACTTTAAAAACTATTCTGTTAAATAAAACATGTCTTTATGTACTCACCGTTCACCTGAAATTGGTTCATATCGATCCGAAGAATTAGTATAGTTATTATTGAAATTACGAAATAACTCTGGTACAAAACTTGCAGAAACACCCTTAAATTTCAATGAAAGTAATAAAAACAAAAAAAAAGCATTTATCACTTGAAAATATTCAACATATTTCACTGATAATACATGTTGGAAACAATGAGCTTATCCACTTTCTGATATAATTTTAACTACTTATGGTTAACACTTCTGTTCTTTGCCTCTTTTGTGTCCATATAAAAAATTTACACTGAATTCACACTTCTTATTTATTAATAATGAGAAAGAAATACAATATTTTTGAAATGATAAATCCAAATATGTTTATTCAACTTTCGAGTACAACTTATTTGTTTTTATCCTCTGAGTGAGGAATATATATACATTAGTTGTGTCATTTGAATTTTGTTTAGTATGGTCAGCAAATTATCAGTTCAAGTATCTTAGTCTTTCTTATATTTTACCAAATCAGCTGGACTCCCGTAACAATAGATAACTAAGTGATATTTATATATTTATGAAGTTGTACAAGAAAATGAATACCACATTTCTCTAATCAAATGGAATTCACTAAGTTTATTTTTGAACTAAAAATTGTGTAAGATTGTAAATCTGTGAAATACTTCATAGATGAATTTATTCCAGTGTATATAGACATTGACAAAATGTGCGTTCAAAGAGAGAGAGTTGACTTAAATCCATATGAATAACCAGAAATATGAGACAGAATATTTTTTTGGACATATTTAATTTTAACAAACAAATCTATTTTAGAATTACAGTGTTTACTTGAATGGTCAGTATACTTATGAAATAGTTGACCAAGTTAGAAATTTAATTGTTTTTATTACTTCTCTTACTCAGATTTCGTTGTCTAGACAATTTTTTAGATACCAAGGTATCTAAAATGAAATGAACTAGACAGTAATTTTATCATAAAAGCTCAATAAAAATGTATGGTGATTTCGACCAAACAAATCTTTGGTATGTTTTTTTTAGTTCGTATATTATTCTAACAACAAATTGTCATAATCAAGTTCATAAGATTTTTAGTGTGGTATTTAAAAAAAACAACTGAACATTAAATGTAGCTAAACACAAATTTGTTCCATATTCTTTGCATTGAACTAGAAAATTATGGAAACTGTTTCGTTAAATACAATTATTTCTAAATACTAATACAAGTTATATTTTATGTTATTCATGAAGACTTAATAGTTTTAAACGAATGGAGCAGCTGATTATTATTTTTGATCATTTTAAAATACGTTTTATTTCAAAATATAGATCTACAAACGAAGAATATTCTTTACAATAAATTCTTTTCAGGTTCTAAAATTATAATATACAAATTGATTAACCAATAAATGGCCAGGTTTAAGATAAAATTCATTGTCATAGTTTTGAAAAGCTCTATTGATGTGCTTGTTAACTTTGATCTAGCTTCATAATACAAATGTTGTAATTGTATCAAAGCAAATCTTATGGGAAAATTCGAATCAGGCCTACTAATAAAATGATTCAGAATTTTGCCTATTTCTACTAATATTTATCTCAGAAACGTTAGTTATTTATTTCTAGGAGAATCCTAACATCAAACTTTTCCTTTATAATAGCTAATAGTGAGAGGTATTAATCATACATATGGTCTAGAATAAGAATATATTATTCAGTATTTATAAATCATACCAACAAATTTCAGAAGTTGTAAGTGCTAAGATCACTTATAGACTTCAGTTAGCACGATTTTACCTACTTTATTTAATAATAATTCATTTATCAGTAAAGGGTTGTATAGATTGCTGATTTTCATTGAAACTATGAACCAATCAATGTTAGATCGTCAGTGAAAAGCTGGAATCGCTGGACGGATGTTCGATCCTAGTATGGGACTCCTCGGTAGCATCTGTCCGCGACCCCGTGCACGGGAACCGAACCAAAGACCTTCGATCTCGAGCGCAAACTCTAGGCCTCCAGACGTTTAGACCAGTGGAATTTGATCGTGTTGGATGTGAGACAGTTACCCACCGAAGACAACGGAGGATGGCCACATAATATCGTGCATCGATTGAAGTTAGAGACCAGCAAGCCGTCATCTAACGGCAATAATGTCTGTGTTAAGTGTTTGCACGCGGGACCGAAGGTCCTGGGTCCAAACCCTGCGTGCAGGATAGTGGATGCACACTTCTGAAGAGTCCCATACTGAGAAGAAACGTCCGTCCAGTGATCTTGTGCTCGCAATGATGGTCTAATATTGACGAGTTCATGATTTCAATGAAAATAATTTAATTATCATCTATTTTAGTTAATTTAATAATAGCTTTTAAAACCCACTTGGATGATTGAAGTAACAGAAATTAAATAATGAACTAGCCCATCTACTCAAAAGATTATCCAGGTCTTCGATGACTTTTCAAATTTTTTAGTTATAATTTAAATCAGTTTGCTTTAAGTCAATACCTCAAATTACTATTTCCAGATAAAACATCTTAATTTATTTTCCTGTAGAATTCATCAAAAATAGAAAACTAACCATAGCAACTGGTATAAATATACAAATAAATAATCTCCCCAATGTTGAATGGGTTACATAATCACCGTAACCAACAGTAGATAATGTTACTAAAAGAAAATAACAAGACTCGAAGTAACTCCATGTACCACGATGATTTTCATTCAACCAAAAATCTCCCAAATGTTCAATCTATCATTGATAACAGGAATGTAGACAGCACAAAATAAAAGAAGTTCTGTTTTCAATAAAATAACAATAAATTTGTATTATTAAGCAAACAGATCTATAAAATACGAAAAATATATTGTAAGTAGATACTTCTACACTCTCCTGTTCAGTTACCTAGTAAACATTTTATAATCTGGCTTAGAATGGATTTAATTTCCATATCATTAAACAAAAATTAGCCAATAAAGTCTAAATAATAATACAACAGAGCGAGGCTGATGTTTCAAATCTACCTTGAGTGACAAATAGGTGAATATTCTACCCTTCGGTGATACAATGAATTTCTAAGAGGACCTTTTAATCGACTAATGAAACGTTGGTGGTGACTCAATGACTTTTATTTGTTCAAGCACAATTCGTCTTATGAACCATTTTTTAAACAATAATGTCAGACTGATAATTTGAAACGGTTTACTACCGAATTACTGTTTTTTTTCCAGACTTGTACTTTTTAGTAAGTATGAAACATTTGCAACCTCACATAGATTTAATTTTATAATGTTTAGATTTTATTATAAGCAAATTACCAGATGATGTCATTCCAAGATGAAAATTATTATCGAATCGTTTGTTCAACACAAATTACATAATTGAAAAATCCTGCACAATTATGTATCCACAGTCACAAAAACAAATGCTCTAGCAGGTTAATATGTATATATCGAACTAGTGATGTTATTGGTCACGTATCCAGAGGCTGTTGACTTATATTCTTTATAGTTAATGGTTTACTTGTATATTTAGTGATTATCTATTTCGTAATTTCTTAAAATATAATTCCCTATATTATCATCACTTATTTGCATATGAACCAGCCTCCCAATCAAAATATTTTCAGTCAGTTTAATTACCAAAAAAATCATTAGTCGTGACAAATCGCAACATTTGTGGATATACATTTATTCTTATGTTTGACTTATACATGTAGTTATAGAATATCAAGAGGAATTCACTGAAAGGAATTATTAATATAATCTATTCTTGTTGTATACAGTCATGAGTTATGCGCCGTACTCTTTCCAGTGACGCCAGTATTGACGTGATGGAAAAAGAAATCAACTTTTAAGTCCTGTTGAAGAAAGCTCATCAATGAAAAAATCTCCTTTAAAGTGAGTGGGGAAGGGTTCAAAGAAAACAGTAAACACCTCAAGGGGGTTCTAGGCCTACATATTCAGTGATAATTTTTCGCAAGTTTATGACTCGTGATCCAATCACTCTCTTTAATCATCAGACCTAGCTCCTCGAGATCTTAGTTCGTCCATAATATGTAAAATGACCATTCCATGTTCGCACTGTAATGATATGAATAAAATAAACTGTGTGACCATGAGGCAGCTGAACAGCCTTACTTCTAAAGAGTCCTAGGAATGCTTCTAATAAGTGTGACCGAAACGGTACAAGTGTATTGACACGAATAGAGAGTAGCTGAAGTCAATGAGATCCATATACTGTAGATTTTGCAAAATGAAGGCTATATGACCTTTGTTCTTGTATTACTAGACGCACTAGTTGAAGTCGTTCACAATTCACAAGTTAAAAATCTTAGCGATTGTGAAGCCAAATCCAACCACCTTTTTTGTGATGGGTGTATGCATTAACCTATCTCAGTAAGGGACTGTTATATCTGTTGTATCCGAAGAAGAAATAAAGGTAACTTTGAATTTTCGACATTATTCTCCTCCACGATACAACAATATCCTTACATAGAGTATTAGTAACGACTTCAACTAGGTCATTAAACAATATAAGTTAAAATGTTATGGATATTAAAAATTTTCATGAAATGATAAATATTCATGATATTTTAATGACTACATCAAATCCAATTAAAAACATTAATTTGTCATATTTACTATAAACTCAGAATTATTTGATGGTGCTTAATAGTTAGAAGTGAAAAAACATTCGTACAACTAACCACGTGCATAATCCCACTACCAACCATCCATATGGTGAACAATGTGAACACGATACGAGCTGACTGAATTCCTTGATTTGACGTTATCACACCCAAATAAGTGAGCGTATCAACATAATACAAAAAGCACATTGATCGAAGAAAATTCAAGTCTGGAATTGAGACGATAAATCAAAACTCTATTGAATCGGTAGATTATAATGTTAATATTTATAAGTTTTATCTAACGATAATATCGTTATTTGTCAATGTTATTCTGTCATTTGATGCAAGATTAGGTTTAAAGAGTATATATAAATTCCATGAAAATCCATATAATATGGAATGATCATGTTAAATGTGTTTCTTTGATTAAAAATATCGTAGTTGGTTTTAGAGTTTCTGAGTCTTCCCTAAAAAAATAATACGATTCTATTCAAATAAGTATTTGAAGAAACTTGCAGAAAACATTGCTGATTTCAGTCAAATTTGTTTATAACTTTCACTTCACTGACTTTTATTTATTACAGTTGTTATAGGTTTACTATAAAAAAAGACAAATTATAGTGAGCTATGTCGTTTTTATCAAATTCATTCATGATCATTTATCGTTTACTGCAAATGCTTGCAATTAACCGTTATGCTACCGCTCTTTTCTCTCTTAACACTTTACTTCTACCTTTTACTTGACGTTAATCAACAATAAAAACTAACTTTGAAGGTGCTTTTCTTTATTAATTAATATTATATTAAAAATGATCAAAAAGAGTATTTTAGTATTCTTGGTTGTTTTTTTAAATCGTACATTGTAATGGTACTGCTTGACAGTAAATTAAAAATCTACTGATTCTAATTTCAAAAGTTGGAGTTCGAGCAACAACCAACTTACAGAGACGTGTATTCTTTTTATTTTTCAGCAGTTTTGAATTGGCGTAAACGAAGCACTGGAAATGAGACTTCTGATCTCAATATGCTTCATATTTTTATTTATTTTAACTTTCTATATAATTTGGTACCCACCAGTCCGTTATAGTTCAGCATGGTTTTGGATAAACTATACTTTGATTTGGTAATTGTTAATCACAGTATAACACTCACTTTAGTGTATTCTCATCACTCGATTATTTTAGTTTTCTTTAAAGTGAAATTATTAGATTTTTGAAGAAGTCAAAGTGTAGTAAATGACACAGTACAGTAATAATCAGAGTAAAATCACTGTTTAGTACTAATGATATTATATTCAAGCTGATATCCTAACTTTATGTGATCTTTAAAAGACACAAAAAATTTTAAGATGTTTAGAAATATGAGACCACCACCGCTCCTTACTTCAACAATGTAAAATCCTATTTAATTGATTTAATCTACAAAAATATATGAAACCGAAAAGATCAATTGCTTAACATGATTGGAAGTTAGTTTAAACATATATCTAGTTTATGTAACAACTAACTTATAGTCTTAATTGGCATTTCGTTAGTTAGGTCATGTACTTTGTAGAATTAGATATGTCTAAGACATGTAATATCACATGCACTATTGATAAATAGTGAAGACTAATTCAGTTCTTACTTTTTATCATCCTGTCCTTATTTTTTGAAATTTTTGAAATAAAGATATTTCGCTTACGTTTTATATTATGGCAGCCATTATATATAACTGTTAACACTTTCAATGTAAGTGTGTCGATATATGACCACTTAATTGTGGTTTTCGTGGAGATTTTTTCAATAAGTATACTGTGTCCATCATAAACCAACATCAGCTGAAGAAGGTAGTTAATATTTAATAGCTCTTAGACCCGGTTCGATATGTTCCAAGAACCTGTATCCACAAGATCACAGGGGAGTAGATCTAGTGGTTTCTGTTTCTAAATAAGGATAAACTATTGCTGTAGGATTTATTCTTAGTGTTAAATCAATCCTTCCTAATGACCTTCTATAAGTACAGAATACATAATGGGCATTCTTAGGTATATAAGTGTTCTGGTTTTATTAGTTGTGGAATAATTTCGTTGGAGGTTGTGTGGATAATGGCCGTGATTATCCCATACTAACGATTTTCTTAGACTGACTGTTGTATTATCAAGCTCTTTTATTTAGTTCCTTAAAGATTACTGATTTTAAGGATATCATATAATCCCCGAACTGGCACACTGCTTCATTACCACTTATTAAAAAGTTTGATTGTTAAGTCCTTCAAAATTTCTCCCTAGATCAAATACAAAGCAAATCATATTTTATTGCTTATCTCAAGTATATTTTTTCTACTTCATAGTAGGTTATGAGTAAGTTATATTATCAAAAGCTATATTTATTATTGATAAGGTAGCCTGGTATCTTAATCAGGGTTAACCTGGGGCTGTTAATCCAAATCCAAATTTGATAAAAACCAATTTTCAAAGTAAAAAGGACTGAAGTTCAGAGAAGCTCTTATGTGTTTTTAACTCGGAATAATAATTAGTATCGGCAATCCTTACTTCTAAATAGTTATCTGATTAAGAGCTACAATAAAATATTACTAATGTTTACCTGATCTAAAACGTTCTTAGTGATAAGAATCCTTGAACATATCCTGACGTTTGACGTAGATTTTTCAGAACGTAGTTACCTACTGAAATCGTGGAACTTCTGCATTTGTTCAATCACTTAGAAAAGGTATGCAGTAACTATTGTCAGTCTTCGTTTTCAATGTTTTTCGTTATGTATCAAAACAAAAACATAGACCGACAATACTACAGTATAAACTACTAATTTATCATACGAGCAAACTTATTAGTACAGATGGATTGATGGTTGTACTCACAGAGACAGAGAATGCAAAAAATCTCACCAGTACATGTCGATCTTACCTGCTAGTCAGCTAAATAAATTTCAGAAGGTCGAATTCTAGAAGACAGCTGAGAAGAATCTGGAGGTTATCTCTCTAAACTAAGGACGTGTAAAACTTCATGTACCTTTCCCCATACTTCAAATAAAGTTTAATTTACTCAATTTCTAAAGAGCTTGGTTGGTAAATCACCGTACAAATAAACTCGAATTGACCAAAACGACAACTCATTTTTATAAAGTCTTCAAGAAAAGCTTCCTGCTAATATTGATTTTGGGAAAAATATAGACACCAATAAAATCCTCGCTGATATAATGCCTATTTCTTGTATAAATGTAGCTCTTAATCAACGTGGGTTAAAGTACTAGACTAAGAACTCAATATCAAGACTAGTAATGACGTTTCAAGCAAGCTGAAACAAAAAGACAATTTTTAGAATTTAGATCAAAATGGATTTCTTAACAATTTATGTGGACATTTTATACTAGTTAAAGTTGCTTTTAGCAGATCTGGAGTAACGTTGACCGTTAGTCACTATAACTAAAAGCTATGTATACTTGTTATTCTCGAAAATTTAATGGATATAAAATTTTTATTAAAAACATTGTCTCTATTTACCGACATATTCACTTTCTTATATTGGTCTCAAAACACGAAGTATATATTAATATTAGTTGTTATATATATGAATTTACTGATTGACATAAATCAACATAAATTGTTTGTAATAATATTTGATAACCTCGCTAGCCTGTGTTACCATATAAATATTTAACAGTGCTTTATTGTAAACATTAAGATAGTTTACTTCACTAATCAGCATAATGCTTATGAGTCACTCGATCAATTTCTGTGTTACATTAATCAGTAAATCTGGTTCATGAATAATAATAGCGATAAATCAAGAAATGATGACTAGGAATTACGATTTTTTCAACACATTCACTTACCAATATGACGATGCGTTTCAAAAACACTGCATAAAGCCGGTGGGATTGAAATTATATCGATCAGAGAAGAAAAACTGAGAACAAAACGAACCCGATCAGTAGCTGCACACAGCTAAATCAGATTAATTTGTTTTAGGAAAGCAAATAAATATTTTATTTAATTACAAATGTACACCACTCATATTATTACGAAATTTTTTTACAAAATAAGTTTTATTTGTAAAATACAAAAAGTTATTTTCCCATAGCTGTTCTGGCTTTTGTTTCATACTGAATAGTAAACAGTTTAACCACGGAAATAATTTGATTCTGTTGAATGGAATTAGGGTATATCACCCTCTACTCTGAAGTACGTGACTTGTGACTCGAAGTTACAGTCCAATTATTTGGAAGTTGGGTTAGCTAACAAATAACCCGTTACTTCTGTCCAACTGTCTTTAAAATATATTAAAACAGATTGAATATAGTGGAACTAAATTCGAGGGGCAATGTTTATATTTTCAAAACGGATAAGTGCTATGCCGGAAAAATCTCTACAGATTATATGTTTTATGAAAAATAGTAAGTGGCTGGTGTGACAACAGCCACCACCTTCGTCCTCATGTCAGTTTTGCAACCTATAAATATGAATAAGTTTTATTCCGTTTCTAGCGTTAAAGTTTTTCATCCAGCTTAGGTTTCTGTCTTTGCATTGCCAGTTTGCCAACCTTTAAGAATATGATCGTGATAATGTTGGATCACGGAACACAATAACCAGTTATCGTTTAATGCTGAAACAGTAAGTATAATAATGCTTAACCGAAGTTTTGTTACGTTAGTTATCATAAGTTACCCTAGTAGATTGGTATGAACGATATAAAGAAGAACAAATCGTTCATGATGTTAAAAAATAACGTTTTCATAACCTAATCAAATTTCACACTGTTATCTTTTTCACATAAAATAGAGCCGTTTAAATATCGAAAATGATAATTTCCTAGGTTTGTTATACACTTTATCGATTGGTAATGTCTTGTAACAAGCCCTTATCATGTTATGAACAGATGAAATGTGCATCAAATACATGTCATTGCATTTAAATTAGTTATTTTACTGTAACTCTTAATTTATTATGTAAATATTTCTATGTATTTGTGGTGTCCATGTCCATCATTTATTTCCATCTATTGTCCTATTGGTTGCAAATGCACTCAATCAGTGGTTTGTGACACACATATGCCTCATATTCATAGACGAGTACATTCTTTTCCTTTGGTTGGTCTGACTGTTATATTCTTGACCTGCTGAGCCAGTACACTCGTAATAAATCAACTGCAATCTAATTTTTATTTAGCTTACGAATGTCACTAGTTCAAATAAGTCTAACTGTGCATCCTAGTTTATTCTAAATAAAAATACGAAGTGAACCAGTGCCATTTAATGTAAGAGTCAGAAGACATTAATTTATAAGCTTATAGTATGAAGAAAATTACAACATTATATAATACTCTTCATAAGTATACCTGTAGATGTTTGGTGCACACTAGCAACATCAACTAGTAAATCATCCAGCATGCTAATGCCTTTCTTAAACTTAATCCAAATATCCACATTCCATTAACACAATGTACACGAAAAATGCACTCGATACTTGGCTTAATTATGGATCACTTTTATCACCTGTGTATAGCTCTATACGTAGGTTGGGACTCGTCATTCATTAGGATCCTAAACACCAAGTTTCAATTCAGATTTTTACATCAAACCAGTCATGTATCACTGTCTTACGCTACAGTTGATTCTTGAAATGTAGTTATGACTCCACAGTTAGGGAACAAATAATTACTTCAATAGGGTTGAATTTTTCAGGCTTACAATCAAAAAACATATTGATTGATACTGATGAGTCAAATGTGCTTTAAACAGAATAAAAGCATGGATACCACTAAAAAGGCTTTTTTTCTAATTTAGAATCTTAGATCATAACTATATTTTAAGGAATTGTGCATCTGAGAACAGCCAATACCGCCCGTTAAAAACTTCTCATTGTCTAGGAATTCCAAAATGAAAGTTTGCTTCTTACCGATATAATTAATCTGAAGGTTTTTCAATCAAGATCTGTACGGCAGTTAACGATTTGTTTTTTACTGAATTATTTTTATTGTGATTTTAGATAATACGTAATTATAGTTACTATTTATCTATCAGTTCACAAATAACAGACATGTAAACGATATTGCATAAAATAGGGTGTGGGTCTACTGTACCAGTAAGACATGTATATCGAAATAGGTTTGTAGAATTAGGAGCGTTATTCATAACCAATTTAGTTTTTAATATTGAATAGGATCCCCAGTTATAGATTAGCTTATTATTATTTACCTTTAAAATATAATAACCCAAGCAGAACAAATTGATACCAAAATTGATCCAACTGAGGATTTTCGAACGTAATGTATGGCATATACCACGTATACTCACAGGAGGATTACTGAAATTAAAAATGAATTGTTTACACAAATCCTTTTAAAAGTTTGTAGTAAAACGGATGATAAATTTACATTTTTTTTGTTATTAAATGGAGTACATTGAATACTAGATGTTTGTTCAACTTCCAGCCCCATCAAAAAATAACATTTCTTTTGCACCGCTATTCTAAAATGACAAATCAACCTCTTTGCTTATTACTATGAGTATAACCACATTAAATTGAATGAAGAATTTATATGCAGCTGATTTTATTGGGGTATTTGGCTCAAATGCATACAGTAGCTAAGTATTTTTACAAATTCGGCTTGATAATCGATGAATGAGGTAATAAATAACCAATCCATGAAAGCACAATATAAACCCAATGCACTCGAGGTTTCTTATTAAATTTTAGTTTTATGTCTAAGTGATCACTGGCCGATCAAATTTTTATATTCATAAAGTCTGTTTACTTTTTTTAAACACAACCTAAATCAAGACCACACAATGGTGGGATTTTAGATTTTAAAATAAACATTATTAAAAGCAATGAATGATTAGTTAAAAAGAGGCTTTATTTACAGTTTATTTTCGGAAATAATCTTGATTTGCTGACATTTGACAATCTGATGATGTGTGTTAAGTTAATACTGTCAACTAATAAAATATTTTAATTAGTCAGAGTAAGATAGCATTTTCATTATATGTTGCTTACTCATTAATACAGTAGTTTCTTTTTATATTATGTGAGTTATGATTAAAAATTCTTGACTAAGTCTTGTATCTCACTTTTAACTTACGAAAATATAAAAATGTATGAAATTCGAACCTTTTCAAAAGACCGTTTTTGAATGTTTTAGTATAGAAACTGGTGTTGTAGCGCACAGTAGTAGTGATCTTAAAAATAACCTTTTCATTCAATGATATATGTTTGGTTAAACTAAGATCACTTAGCTTAAATTCTTAAAAATTACATCAGGTCCCTTTTGTATGCATTTTTATTGTATAGATTTAAGGAGCTGTCTTTTCAGTGGTGATTACTTACTTACTTACGCCTGTTACTCCTCGTGAAGGAGCATAGGCCGCTCACCAGCATTTTCCATACAACTCTGTCCTGGGCAATCCTTTCCGGCTCCTTCCAGTTCCTTTTCATCCTTTTCATATCTGCTTCTATTTCCCGACGTAATGTGTTCTTTGGACTTCCACCTCTCCGTTTCCCTTCATGACTGCAAGTTGGGCCTTGCCTCGTGATGCAGTTTGATGAGCTGCGTAATGTATGTCCTATCCATTTCCATCGTCTTTTCCGAATTTCCTCTTCAACTGCAAGCTGGTTTGTTCTCTCCCATAGAAGGCTGTTGCTGATGGTATCCGGCCAATGGATGTTGAGTATCTTGCGTATACAACCATTTATAAATACTTATACCTTCTTGATAATAGTTATAATAGTTCTCCAAGTTTCAGCTCCGTACAGTAGAACTGCCTTGACGTTCCTATTTCAGTGATGATTAACAGTTACTTATTTTTTTTACTACGGGCGTATTTTCAAGGTTGCTTTACTGCATAAATTACATCTCTAATAAAGCTTTACAGAACATTCTAAATGCGTTTTACATGAATGTTTTCTGACGTTATTGTGTCACATTTTACGAAATAGTATACAAGAAAAGACTCATAATAATTTGATTCCATCACTTGAGTTTTGTAGTATTTATCACCATGATGGGTAATGTGTTCTACAAAAGCGCTTGAGTTTAAAATATTGTCGACAAACATGTTTGGTTGGTTAAAACGTGACGTAAAAAAACGGAGTTCAGTATTTGTGTATTTGAAAATCAGGTAATGGAGAGATTTGGGTAGGCTGACTTGTCGTTCAGATAGTTCGTATTGTAAAATAAATCAATGTTTTTATGCAAGAGATCGAAGAGACAAGCAACTCAATGTTAAGATGACTTATAAAGTTGAAGTGAATGAATATAAATATTGCAAGTATAGGGATCTGTGGAGAGTGTTTAATCTTCATGGGTTACATCACAGACTTATGTCACGCCTATCAGATAGTAGATGGTGAGCAATGACTAAGTCGATAGGAGTAGAGGTGGCATATATGAAATTTATTTTTTTCAAAGTTCTACGACCTGTAAATTCTCTGGAGTAATTATATGACGTAGTCAATTAGTTATGTCTGTTAGTCATAAATGCTTAATTCTATGGTAAATGTGTGTTCACAGATGAAGTTATTATTAAATTGGTCTTAAACACCACTCTTTTTAATTTATACAAATCTAGCTGTTAACCCTACTGTAAATATATCATATAGAAAGTTTATTCATACATCATTTTGATTTGTTTTGGAGGTTAAATAAATTTGTATCACCAATCTTTCTGTTCTTACTAAGTGTCTTTGGATTCTGGGTTTTAATGCCAAACACAGGTCGGTGAAGTATTCAGCAGACACATAGAAAATGACACATAACAACTAGGAGTCCCATACCATGACGAAACAGCTGTCCAGTGCTTCTTGATTTTTAGTGGTTATTTAACCCAGATTACCTCGTGAAGCAAACAACGTAAATATTTTTCCCAAAACGATCGTAGTCAATCGAGAGATTAACTATAAAATTGCAAAAACTTATTCACTTTCCTATCCAATATTTTCTATGTTTCAGATCAAAATCATCAGAAGGTTTGGTTGTATATACATCTTTATGAAGGTAGCAATTCGATTTATAAATACCTTATCCGGTAGCTCATAAAGCTGATCGTTATCAGAGGCACTTTACAGTGGGTGTAAGAACAAACCACCAGTAGTTCAATGTGAATCTACACAAAAATCACTTTGTTTATCACGAGGGATATTTGAAGTTCGAATACTACTAAATATTTGCCTCCACAACGATCAGAAGAGTAACTTGATTTTTGAGAAAAAATTGGACAAAATTTCGATCATGTACCTCGAACGATAGATCAATTTATATGTAATAAAAAGTTTGTTGACTTATATTCACATTTTAAGTGGGGCCATTTTTCGGTATGATGACTCCTGTTTTAAAACTGACAAATTCACAAACAAAATCAAATGTTAATGTACACATAATGTTCTACATTTTAAACTAACTTTCTATTTTCAACTACATAAAATAGCCAGGAGACCGTACTGAGAACAATATAGATAGTTAACTGAAAAAGTAAGAAGAAAACAGACACAATTCAAAATAACACTTTAAAAACTAACAAGTGTAAATGATTTTTATATAAAAAGTTAAATGTATGGAAAAAAGCATCTGATTGTTTCTCAAATTACACATTTCTGCTTATAGTTGAAGCTAATCAAAAAGAATAATTAGTGTCACCAAAAGTCATTAGGATTGCTTTTTTGAAATATAAGTTTTATTGTTTATGAATCAATTAACTGGTAATTATTAGATCATAAAGTTGGATAATGGATTACACGTAAAAAGCATTTTTCGATCAAATATGTAAATAGTCAACAACCTGTACAGTAATTTTACGATGACCAGTCTAATGAGGACAATGTTGACGAAGAACTAAACAAAACTTATATAACCAATTTTCTACAATTATCTCAATAATTAAAAAAACATTTGATGTATTAAGTATAAGGTCTGAACTTCAACAAGTATTTTTCTAAACATCATTAAAATTTAAAGTTAAATCTCCTTTTTGTAGACATATTCATATAGATTCCATCCTAAATCCCTTAACGTCTCTAACTTATATTTTATGAGAAGTAAAACTTTGAGATTCATTCACTTTTCTGATTCATAATCATTTACTTATGTAAGAAGTCAGTGACATATACTATAGTCCCGTTTTTTCATTTAATATAAAGTTGATATAATTAAGAATTCAATGAAATGAATAGAAAGCAAATCTTCATAGAGAAGCGATAACTAATTGAATTTTCTTAAACCTTTTCTGATATTTGAGAAATACTGATATAAATACTTATATTCAATGAACAGTAAAGACGTTGATAAATTGAATTAGGAACGAGCAAAATATTCAGAAAAGGATTTTAATTTCTCTTTCTTGATTCATTCAAGTGAGCTTTCATTATAATTTGATTTCAACTGAATATAGTTCTTTTAGTTGTGCTGATAGAAATATGGCTTTAATGGCATTAAATATTTCTGTATCCGTGCATTCGCATTATCATAACATGATTTAACAATTTTTAAAAAACAACAATAAATACCAAGCTAACCATGAGAAGTCACTTGAACTCTTCCTTGGGAGTTGAAGGGTCTTCTAACAGAAGAATTATAACACCCCATGGTGAAAGCCGAAACTCTTAGAAAGCCGCAAGGCCGATACCCAATACTCATCCTGACAACCAGAGCAATAGTTAACATAAGTACTTGGAATGTTCGGACAATGTAAGAAACCGGGAGATCCAGTCAAATTGTTAAGGAAATTAGGAGATAAGACTTGGCGCTTCTCGGAATAAGTGAGACCCATTGGACACAAACTGGACAGAAAAGATTAGATTCTGGAGAGGTGTTGTTGCATTCTAGCATGAAGAAGGAAATGTTTTTCACACACAACGAGTTGTACTGATCCGATCCAAAGAAGCAGGAAAAGCACTAAGAACGGGGATCTCATAGATCCAGGGTCATCAAAGCATTCTTCAAAACGAAGGAAGAAAGGATCGCATAGAGTGTTGTGCTGTGCTATGCACCTAACAATGAAAGCAATGACGACGATAAACATGCAATGTTTAGCTTGCATGCAAATAGACGATTTGAAATTCTCAGATGACCTGGCCATTCTATCCCATACGTACGAACAGATGCAGATGAAGACAACCATTGTATCAGCAGCCTCTGCAGCAGTAGGCCTCAACCTACACAAGGGGAAAAACAAGATCCTCAAATCCAATACGGAGAACACCAACCCAATCACATTTGATGGAGAAGCTCTGAAAGAGGTGGAAACTTTCACATATCTGGTCAGTAGCATCATTGATAAACAAGGAAGACTCGATGCAGATGTTAAGTCACGGATTACTAAGATAGAGCGACATTCCCACAGTTGAAGAATATATAGAACTCAGAAAACTGTCAGCTAACGAACATCCAAACAGTCTTACTGTACGGAGCTGAAACTTGGAGAACAACCAGAACCACCATCAGAAATATACAAGTATTTATAAACAATTGTCTAAAAAACATATTCAAAGTATGTTGGCCGTAAACTATCAGCAACAGCCTACTGTGGGAGAGAACAAACCAACTTCCAGTTGGAGAGGAAATTAGGTAAAGACGTTGGAGGTCAGTAGGACATACAGTACGGAAATCATAAAACTGCATCATGAGGCAAGGCCCAACTTGCAGTCATGAAGGGAAACGGAGAAGTGGAAGTCCAAAGAACATACTATCCCGAAAATAGGAAGCAGATATCAAAAGGATGCATAAGAACTGGAAAAGATTACCCAGGATAGAGTTGGATGGAGAATGCAGGTGGGCGACCTATGCTTCTCCATGATGGGTAGCAGTAGTAAGTCAATTAATTTGAAATGGGTATGAAGTGAATTATCCCACTTTTAGATCGGTTCGAGTGACTCTTCAGAACTCCTTGAATTTTGATTACCTTTCAATTGGCATTAGTTTGTCATCAAAATACTTTCCAACTTTACTATATTTTTTGATATATTTATGTAACAAAACAAAGGCAGAGTGAATGAAAAGTTAGGAAGTGAGGTAAATTTTACAAGGTAACTGAACGACTTAGTAATGTACACAAAACCATTTGTCCGCGATTCGCTCCTAATATTTCTACTGCAATATTTCTTTATACATTTTATCCAAAGTCATAGGTTAGGGTAACCTCTCCAATTACTCTCAGTTTTGGCTAAACAGAAATTAAATACTAGTCTGTTAGAAACGGAGCGTTTATACAATCTGAATGTAACACATAGCTAAGGAGCAGTTCAGTGTAATTCATTTAGTTTATTAACAGTGTTGACCTCATTTACAACTAGGTAGCTGACACTACCAGTTAGAAGAAATTAAACTTGTAGAAATTCTATGAGTGGTTAGAAACTGGATTTAGGAAGGTAAAAAATATAAACTTTTAAATACACCATAAGGCATATATCATTCTGAAAGTGATTCGGTTCAACATACATGGTGAAGTCTAACTATTCTAAGTAATTTTGTAATTGTAATTTTTCTAAATGGTGTTCTGAATGAATTAACCTGAAGTTCTGTTGACGTGAGAGTTATGAAATCTAAACGAGCGCAAAACTTTCTCTGCTTCATTCTATAATCACATATAACTTACTATTGTACTACCAGTCTTATTTGAATTTCACTCGTTAACTTCTTAGTTGGTTAGTTAATTTTCATACTGATCTAATAATCAATGTTTTTCAAATCCGTGACTTTGGGTTGAAATTTAAACAAAGCATTTTATCAATGATACAAACTTGCTGTCCATTTTACTCTACAATCAGTTATGTTAATCGAGAATATTCCTGTATCTGTAAAATAGGGTACAGATCTTTTGGGTTGTATATTATTTATCATATACTTGAAAGAATAGTTCTGAATTCATTATGTATTCTTTCAGTGATAATTAAAAAAAAGAGTGTAAAAAAGTTTTAGATTAACTTTATTTTCATCATTTATCTACACCATCCACTAAATATCATCATATTGATATCTCTTATAAGTAAAAACATCACCTTCATCGCAGTGTCAAAATAATGCAATATTATTTTAATCATAAAAGTAGTTTAAGACTGTGTTTGTTTCAATCATAAAAATAAAGTCATTATCGAAACATAAATACGACTGGAAAGTAATAAGCTATATTTTACCTTGTCAAATTACGTTATTATTATTGTTATCATTATTATTGTGTTGTCTTAACTAATAAATATTACTGAACTATTCTAACGTCAATCAAACAAAGTGAATGATGAATAGTAAATAAATATCTCAAGAATTTTAGATTACTCGTAACTGAAAAATTTCGTCGATTTAATTTCCAACATACAGTGAACTTTTCCGATCACTTATTGACAGAATAAAGATACAATTTTTTTCTTTTACGTTGGACGAGCTTCGTAAACTGGTTAATCTTAATAATGTTTAAGACAAATTGCTCTTCACTGGACTGAAATTTTCATCTCATCAAAATATGAATAGAAAAATTAAAAACAATAGTTCAGGTATTTTCTAAAATAGTTCCTCTCATCTTATATACATAAATATGAGACTGAATGTAACATCCTACAGATCAATTTCTCACTGTATATGTTTAAACATACTTTAAGAAACCGATTGTTCATTTGGAATGCTATGAATAACTTTCATAAATAACCGTCAAACATTTATTCATAAGTGAAATACCAGTGTAACTTTAAAATATAGCCGAAACCGAAAGGCTGATAAAATGATATAACGAATCTTTTGAAATTGAAAATCCACTGCGTGCTTAGACAATACAAATTAGGAATATACTGATAAAATGCAAATAATCTAAAAGCTGTAGAACATTTCTACCTAGCTCATAAGTCTTGTGTCCGAAGAAGACTAAATTAGGAGCGACTTTTGGGAACTATTTGTGAACTGTTATTATATATATATATTCTTATTGTATAACTATTCAGTAACTAGATTATATATATATTCATCTTTCTCTTATTCTGAACTTTCACTTGACCTATTGACTACAATTATACCATTTGCTATTCTTAAGTTATTCCCAATCTATTAGTTACTGTCTCTCACACTCACACCCACTTTCAGTTTGATCTTGTATAGTAATTATTTCTTATTTTATGGCGTGGTGCGGTCAGATCTGCTTGTGTATAAACCAAGTAAAGTCTGAAATATACGATTGGTACAGTGGAAGCTGAGATTGTGTTCTAGACTTAAACGAGAGGGGATAGGTGAGAAGAACCAATAAGGACTCAGAGTTGATTCTAGGCTGATCATGCTGGTTAACGCATCGTTGATTTGGCACTTGACTAAGTAATAAGTCGGTGTTCTGATTGGTGATCCTGTCATGTTATGTTTTGATGGGGCTTAGAATATAACAATGAGTTATTCCAAGTTTATAACCGCTGTTTGTGTGAACATTCGTTAATGAATGACCCATTGCAAGTTAATAATACGAACTATTCACTATTGATTTAGTTGGATAGGAGT